AAACTGTTGTCTTGACTGTACTATGGAGGTATTAGACATTGAAAAAATAAACTTTGAAATAATTTCCTTGACCAATTCAGATGATCAATTGTTTTTGAAATTTCAAAAGTCGGCGACTTTTTAAGATAACTGTCATGAATGTATATAATCGAAATATCTGAGGCAGAAATACAAAAGATACGAAAAAAAAAGAAAAATTCGTGTTTTTCCTACAAAATCACGTAAGCTACAATAGTATTTTTTTTTCAAGACAAATTTTGAGGTGTCCTTCTAAAAAATCGAGATTGTAAACATAAGTTTTTTTTTTAATCGGAAAACAATCATAAATAAATTAGTAAATATTAATTCAAGTAAAATTATCAAAATCTTTATTTTGGATATTATTAAACTAGACTTTTTAATTTCGACAAACATTTATGTACTCGTATATGGTTATATGTTATGAAATTCCTATAATTCTCTGTTATGCATGATAAAATGCAATTCTACATTTCGTCTTGATTGTTACATAGTTTCAACCATATTCAACTGCAAGCAGTTGATTATATCTTATCTAACCTTTGTGTTATGGTTGTTAAAAATGACTGTTAAAATCCTCAAAATCATTGTGTAATATCTGCACACGATGGTATAATTTCATAGGCTCCCAGTAACCTTCTCAGTATTTCAGAAAAATACATTCCATTTGAATAAAAATCTCAATTTGATTGTTCAAATTTCTCTACACCACTCTGCAAAAATAAATTATTAGCGTGTATGGTCATAGGTTTAATTAGTAATTCGTGTACCTATTGGCATCCATTAAAGTAAAATGAATAATAAAATGTAAAGTAAAAGTTTGAAATTAATATAAGACCGCGGAACATTAACTGGCAAAATTGGAAATATACAGCTTACGTCCTTTCTATCTGTTACAATCAAAACATTCAGTGATAGACAACGAAATGGGCGGGTACAATTCGACGCAGACGTTTGGAAAACATGGGATTGAAATTGCAGATCAAAATTCATTTTCAATCCACCTGAGCTGTTTTCAAAGCAAAGAGTGAATGTATGATCCAAAAAATCAACTATAATTCAACTCCCAAATACATATTGTTTGAAGTTCACATTAATATGAGCTTTAGCTTATAATTTTAAGAACTCGAAAGATCATACAAAACAATTATTTTTCAGGAGATATTTGATTCTAGAAGGGGGGGGGGGTAAAAAAATTGTCGAGTCAGGTCATGGCTTAACATGACAATATATTTTAATTTTAGGATTATAAGAGTGCATGAGTTTTATACTTATTCTCACTGAAAACTGTTGGACAACTTTATTTAAAAATCGTCTTACACCCCCCCCCCCCACACACACACACACCAACACAAAGATATACAGTATAATTTGTCCAAACCGGCTACCGCCGGTTCCATAAAATTTGGCCGGTTTAGACAGAATCCGGAGTGCAGGAAAAATGCAGGAAAATATTAATTTTGAAATTTCGTTGTTTATTTACAAGTATATCATATACATAATATAAATACAATTAAATGATGAAATCAATCAATATTTTGGAGTCTAGAAATTATAAAATATTCTCGCATGACTTACTGTATTTTTCTGTTTGTTCACAAAGTTTGAAAGTCGGGTGAAATGCTATCTTATAAAATCAAAATCTACAGGCACGCATAATATAGGCTTTCTATATATGTCAAGCGGACCGGGTTTCGCTTGTCAAAGAGCCCATTTAATGTATGCACAGTAATGCACAAATATTTACGACGTGCTAATTATTGGATTGGACTTTTAATTTTCATGTGAAAAATTACGTCTTCCCCCGCAGTGTTATGGCGCCATTTTCAAATGCGTTCGATTTTCAATCCCGATTTATATTTTGATTCGTAAATCGCGTGCATCTATTTTTCGTGTTTATGTAATAATGTGGTAAAAGGAGTTATACCAAATTGTAATTTAATCATATAAGCCTAATATTTGTTTTTCAAGTGGGCAGTGTCACCGCCGCATTTCAATGAGTTCGTCTCATCGCACTTATCATGTTAATGTAAACACGGATTATCACATCCACCACGAAAGGTGTTAATTGATTTGAAGTTACTCAGGTTATTATGTGTGGCCGGATTAAAGGAAATAATGAATTTGTTAAAGAAGTGCATGGGTCTAAACTTTTTAAGACGGAATGGACAAAGATCCGGAGTACTCAGAGTCCGGATTAGACAAATTTTACTGTACATATATTTACCAAACAAAAATGAAATATTTGTCCTTTATATATTTATTCATTTAAAACACTGGACAAAAAAAATCAAACTGTACCAAAATTGAAATTATTTGTCTTCTGGATCAATCAGTAATAATGTGCCTTCTAACGTAGCCGAGGTGGATTGAAAATGATATGCAATTTCAATCCCATGTTTTCCAAACGTCCGCGTCGAATTGTACCCGCCCATTTCATTGACTATCACTGAATGTTTTGATTGTAACAGATGGAAATGACGTAAGCTGTATATTTCCAATTGTGCCAGTTTATATTCCGCGATCTTAAATATTAGTAGGATAATTATAAAGAAAGAGAAAAAATGTTAATGTTTCTTATCAAAATAATTAAATGTTACATGTACATGAAATGAATGAATTGGAGGAAAAATTAATCCACTTGAAACACCTTTCTATTTTAAAGATAGTGAGTCTATCTCCTGAAGCATAATATCCTCTGTACCATCTTTAGCATCCTTCTTCTCTTGTCTTCTTTCTATTATTTAAAATAAACTCAAAATGATTCCGTACACTTGTTACAATTAAAAATTAAAATGCATGATTTTCTATATATATTCATTTTTTTGTATAATTTAAAGTGTTCAAAACATATACATTATCAATAAATGTAATTGTTTTCAAATTTGGAATTCTCACTTTTTCGTCTGTTTTAAACCAATTTATTTCAAAACAAAGTTAGCAAAGAGAATAAATATAGTATTCAGAAGCAAGGTCGTCTTATTTTCTGTTGGATACTACATGTTACTACAGTTATTAGCACTTAGATATTTGTTTCTATTATTACAAAGAAGCAGATTAAAAAAACAATACGAAAAGAAAGCTTGTTTTTATCAGATGAACATCGATTATCTTATGACAGAAGTTACTGCTGCAGCAACAGTGATTCAAAACATATGAACATGTATATCACACTGGACTAGAAATAAGACTCCAAGGAAACTGATACATCTGTGTAACTATGGTATATTAATGTAGCCAACATGTACACGTATGCATTGATCACCTGCATGTGGGATTGATTTTTTCCAATTGAAAATGTTCTACACAAAAGCATTACGATCTCCCCACATTATAAATTAGATTGATTGATTGTTTATTGTTTAACGTCCCTCTTGAGAATTTTTCACTCATATGGAGACGTCACCGTATGCCGGTGAAGGGCTTCAAATTTAGACCCATACTCGGCACTCAGGACCACTGAGCAGTAAGGGTTCGTTATCATGCCAGCGCCTACCGTGATACGGGACTTACGTTTTAAGGTCATATCCGAAAGACCCGTAACTTTAACTTCTGATGCCGAGCGCTTGGCGAAGGATCAGTCGCTACCTATTTTTACGTCTAAGGTTTGACGCAGCGCCGAGAACGAGAATCGGACCAGGGCCTCTCGATCACGAAGGATTATACAATAGTTAACAGTTATGAAGAACGCAGTTAGGATAACGCTGTCGGAGGGCTTAAAAAACCTAAAAAAAAATATACTTTTTATTTTGAGCTAGATTTTAAGTAAATATGTAATCCTTGTTTGAAATTGCAGTCAACTTGAGATAATGGTTAAATCAGGATTTATTTTAAAGCATTTTTGTGATGTCACATGACTGTGTTGATCATGTGACGTAGATATTCCTGATTGTGCTAAAAATTGCTTCGGCACAAGTGCAAAGCAAAAAATACTGTGCAAAATTTGTTACATAAATCAATTAATCCTGATCTCTTGGACATAGAAAGTGCTGGGGGTAGGTTTCATTTTTACTCGTTAAGAAAATATTTTACGAGTAGTTCAACTTACCAACATAAGAAGGGGTATTTTCCACTCTTTATAGTGATTTATACAAAAAATGGATAAAGTTCACACAATCCCTCAGCAATATTCATTTAGTAGACATACTTCTCTTGTAGATTCATGCAGAATAGCTTCAATTTGTCCTTGTTTATCACTTGTACCCGTCCAATATAAACACGATTCATTAATTGTAACTCTGTCTACTGACGTATAAGGGGAGCGTTTCACACATAATTTTTCGTTATTGTTTGATTATTTGCATATCGGACAAGTGAAACGAATAAGGATATTTAAATTTTAAATGTTCAACATCATAATAGCCAATTCGAGATTGAAAAACAATCCTGACTCTTGAATTGAACAACAAGTCATTACAATCATCAAGAAGCAATCAAAAGTCAGCTACAATTTGAAAAAAAGTGAAAATGAAACCTGTATATAATCCAATTTCTTGATGGAAAATGATTCATTTAGCTGAATTTGGGTGGATTATTTTCACTTAAAGTAAAGTTAAACGTTATTTAGTGGTTCTTTAAATTTCTTTTTAAAAAGATTTTTAGAAGTTAAAAATTGACATTAAATATGATAGAGAGAATACTAAAATACGTCCCCGCACCCTTTGTATTTTTTCCAGCGCCTGTTGTGGTGAATAGGGATTATACGGTAGTTTAAATAAAGAATGCATTTTCCCTGTCTAGAATGAATATGGAAATGAATTTCTTAAATAAAAGGAAAAGGATGAAAAACGTAAATAATTCTTAAAATAAAAAAAAGTTACAATTATGAGAGAGAAAATTTCATCAAAGTTCTGTTTTAAAGAATGCTATGCATAAGAAATATTATTATGTTATAAAATGTATGCAGGGTGCTTATTATGCTCTTATAGAAAAAAAAAATCATGAATAAAATTTGCTATGGATAGCTACATGTATATACTTACTGTTTCTCTTGTTCTTTTTGTATCTACATATGATGTAGATCAGTGCAAATGTCACGGCCACAACAAACAATACGACAACGATGATTATAATTATCCAAATAGGAAAACTGCTAGTTTTCTTTTCACTTACTTTGCAGTGGTCATTTCTGAAATTAGAAGTGATTGTAAAGTGATAAAATCTTTAATGAAATTAATATAGCATGTGTATCCCAAGATTCTTTTTACAATGATTAAGGCATGATATATCTTTGTATTTTACGTAATATTTAACATTCCAGGTTTCAATGGCATATATAAAAAAAATGAAAAAAAAATTCCAGTAGATGATAACTTTTCATTCTATGTTTTTCATCTCAACGTTACTTGTGAAAAAGGTTTCTATTCTGTGAATGAAGCAGAGTGAAACTTTACTAGAAATGGAATTTTACATTTTACTGTTTAATGATTAAATCACCGCCAGTGGAGGCCTAATGAATTGCAGTAAGAAATTAAGGTACGAATTGCTGTTTACCAATAAAGCTTGATGCCAAAAACAAGTTGCCGTGCTGTAAAAATTAGTGATTGGAACTTAGTGTATTTAGCATTGACATATATAAACAAGTATATTATTGTACTCCCTGCAAAGTTTTTTCTCTTGTATTATTTTCTTGCTATCTTTTACGACTAAATCAGAAGCTAGAAAATATTATCACAAGTCACAAATAAGCCCGTGTTTTTGACTTTTTACCACTTTCACTCCCTGACATCAAACGTTTTGTGGTTGAGTAGTTTTGAACATCCATTTTTGTGCACGATAATAAAATTCACCTCTGACCACTTGTAAGGATTTTCAGCTGCATATATCATGTATATATTTAATATTATATGTTCTCGTGCGTTTTACCTTTCAGTATACATATATAATGCACAGATGACAAGAGGGAGCTTTAAGATATAACGAACATTGAAAAATCTACAAAAATAAAAATTTGTGAGCAGGACAAAATACACGATTCCCTGGGATTTCAGAGGGGCGGGAAGAAGTGCCTAAGAGGAATATCAATATATATAATTATATTGTTGAAAGCTGAACACATCTAATAAATAGGCACCGTCAGACGGGTATATAAAGCCTTCGAATTCGTTACACCCGATTGCACACTCGAAACTCGTGGCTTACATGTAGTATTTCTTTCGTGGTCTTATATGTTTTTTTGCATTTATATTCCTAGTTTTTATGTTCATTTTCTGTTTGTAAATAATAAATTGACCTCTAATTTTCATCGTAATACGAAAAACCTTTAACTGCTAAGATATAGGCTACTTATATAAGGGTTGTAGGGGTTGTAGATGAACGGGAAATATGGCGGATTATGCCTTTTTACGAGTAGTGTTCTGCTTGAACTATCAGTTCTTGCTTTTTTGAATTAATAAAACTCTATGCTTCCCTTAGTTTGCTGTCCTATTTTATAGCATTTGTTCTCCAGTCCTTCATTCATGTGTCTTTTTTCAACTCCTTTTATTTCTCTATTTTGAAAAAAAAAGATATGACAGTTTTAATGTAATAGTAGTTATAATAACTTTTTTCTTGCTTCTATTTTTGGTATACAGTTTCCTTCTTGAGTGAATTGATTTGCACTCCTCTAGAATTCGATACTTTATGGTCTGATTGCTTCATTATTTCAAATGATAGTTGATCTACTAGATCTACGTTTTAAGCATCTCTTTTTTCCCTTTTTGACACTTTTTTTCAAAATTCCTTTTTTACATTTCTTAATAAACTATAATCTCCTTTTAGGTTGACAGTTTTTATCCCTATGTTTGCTTATTTAAGATAGCTTTAATAGAGAATACTTTTTCATAAAGTTTCTTATTTCTTTCCTGTCATTATGATCGCCATCTTTGTATTTAATCTACTTCTAGAGTTTTATGAAGAGGCTTACTTTTACATTCGACACCTGAATTTTACATTCTAGTAATTGGAGTTTGTCTATGTTTAAATTCAGTCAGTCGTCGATTGTAAAAGTAAGTCTCTTCGTAAAACTCCTCTATTCCAACTTTCTCAGTTTCTTAGATTATTTTCACATTATTATTTTTACCCTTTTTCCACTGAATAAGGGCGAATTTATTTTTTATTGTTATTTTCGTCGTGCATAGAATAGCACCCGTTTCTTCATTTCTGACCAAGAAGTGGATTTTTTTAAAAGAAATTTCTCCACCTATTTATCTGTTTTTCTTTAATATTCCATCCTTGAGAGGGGCATATATTTTATTCAGGAATGAAAGTAAGTAAATTTGAAGATACCTAAAAGATTTGAAGATAAGGTTCTCAAAACAAATTAACAAGTTGATTCATTGTTGATTGACATGTAGAAGACGGGCACACATTGGTCAAAACAACATCTTTGAAGCCTTGTCAAAGAGAAGCAAAGCGAAGCTTAATCTCAGCAGAAAGAAATACCGCTAGGTAATCAGGGTCTTTTTTAAGATCTTACTTAGTTTTTGTATATAATCCAGTGGAATTATTCACCAATTTAAAGCATTGGCTATCTATTGAAAGGATAATATACATCTTTTCAATACGAAGACATATAAATATGAATAAAAATATATTAAAGGAGGGTATGAAGAAACAGTTATGTGATGCTATTCCATGGAATCATTTATGTTAATGATATTTACGATATATGTTTTAAAAAAACTGATTATATATGTATATTGTAAAAGCGTAGGTACAGGTATGTTGGGGGGGGGGGGGTCCTACATTTATACGACTCTGTTGAATTATAAATTGATGGACAGGGGTTATCAGAATAGGTACAGTTTTGTTTATAGGTGATCCCAATGCCATGGAATCTTTCCTCAAATATAGCACACCGCCCATCTGTAAAAAAATATGGTATACTTATATTTTATTAAATTTGAATTGTTAGCTATTTGAGCAGCTGTAATAAACATATATATTTGATGAGTACACTGTACATTAAATCATACACTTACATTGAATATACCGTTGAGGGGTACATACTTCAATTAATCCTGTCAAATTTTCATTCAAAATACAGTGATATTTCAGAGGTTTGCAATTTACGTAATTAAACTGGTGACATTTTTTCCGTCTCGCAGCCGCTTCAAACTCTTCTTTATTTTGTGGACATTCCGATACACTGCAAGTTGAATTAAGGGAGGCCCTGCAAGCCGTTTTCGACGTCTCAAAAGAACATTTTTGTTCAATGAAAAATGTTGATATTATTAAAATCTAAGGACAAATAAAAAATAAAATTATTATAGAAAGCAGCAATGCTTTTATGCATTTCTAACGATTTGTGTACCACATTTTTTTTTACAATCAATTAACTGCTTTGCCTTAATTTTCCGATGCATATTACCATGGTTCTGCTAGTTTGGGATGAGGTTAACATAGTAGAGGAATGCATCGATAAAAATGGAATAAAATCAGTGAATATGTTAAATATTTCTTAGATTTTTTTTTTACTAAGAATTTGTTTATCAAAATTTATTTTATAATGCTCTTATTCTATCAAATTGTAGATCTGAGATACAGCTTGGAGATTTGAAGAGAGAGAGTGTCAAACCCGAACTAAAATTTATGAATACCAGTTTATGCACAGCAAAACAAAACAAAGCAAAAACAAAAAAAAAAAACACGACATGTAAAATAGAAAATGAGATATTTAATAATGGAAGTCAAATAGCTTAAATTTTTTATGGCTTACATTTTTACTCTCTGTTTAAGATCTGAATTATTTCGCATAAAAAATATTTTAAAGTTGTGTTTACCTTCAGGAAATATGGCACAAAAGACAAATAGAACATCGTGAGTATTATTAACAATAGAAGTCCCTCTAGCTACTGCAAAAAATTAAAGTTACATTCACCTCAAAAACAATTTACCAAGTTTATATTCAGAATTACTGATTACTCAATATGTCATTTCAGTATTGAAACTTTGAGGAAGCTATAAGTACACTTTAGTTTCCGCAAAGTTTCAGTAGTGTTTCCGCTACTCGGAAACTGTTTTCTTTATCTAGTGTGTGGAAAGAAGATTGTGTGGTCTCTACCTTTGTTTAAACAAGGAAAAAAAACTAAAAATATTTCCTTCTCACTGATAAAAAATATGCTCATCACGAAATTTTACATGACTTGCAAACAAAATTTTCAATGTTATGTACATTACTTAGTTAATACATGTATAATGTTTTACTGAATCGCGCCAACTTTTGTAGCGGCACAGTCAAGTCTAGCGTAAAATTTAAAAAAAGAAATAAATACATAAGAAATACTTACACAGATTTTTTCTTCTTTTTGTTGATATATTTATTTAATTGTGAAGATTGTTGAGATATGATATATATCAACTGATCAAACTAATGATGTGTACGTTTTAGGAATCGATAAATATTAGTTTTATTGTTTCAAACTTTAAATCAGAAAGCGAATTTTATGTAAAGGATATTAATTAACCGATGTTGACATTTTCTACTTCATGGACATTATAAGAAGATTCCGAAGTAACACATTGGATAGCCTAAAGTGCAAGAAATAATACGATTGTTTATAGTGCGTTATGAATATCGGGATTTATTTCTATCTAGACATAAGATGACTTTAGGCACCGTAAGTAAAAGTAGAATTAAAGATTAAATGTGCGAAATGACTTTCATAGCATTAAATCATGTGAAATTTTCTTCATCAAAGATGCAGAGTGAGTGTAAGCAAACATAAATATTTACCTTTTTATCATATAGAAAGAAGGGTTTTATATCTTCAAAATTTGTTCGTTCAACGACCTCTAAACGATAAATAAAGGTGAATATCCCTTGTGCACAGAATTCAGAAATATGACTTCCTTATACGTTTTTCTGATCTGTCGGACAGAAATAAAAAAAATTGAGAATACCTTATAAATAAAACCTCGGTCATATTAGCAATTTGTTTTTCATAAGTGACATATTTCATTACATATTATAGTAATATGCTGACACGCAAAAGAACCGCAACACCCTACTTTAGGGGAAAATAACTATGTAAAGTAAAGAATTTTGTATCTTTTAAATTATGGATATCTTCAATTGGCAATTTTACGGTGAACGATTTTCAAGTTTTTCAATCAAAAATTGCGTGTTTAAAAAATTATTTAGAAATCAAAAATTGCGTGTTTAAAAAATTATTTAGCAATATTATGGAGCTTTAAGGGTTTTGACTGTTAATCATAAGTAATGTAGTAATATTTCAAAAAATAAACTCTCCTTTCGTTTCCCGTAACGATGCTAAGGCTTCTTGAAAATGGCTTAAGTATGCATTTCCATTGCTCTGGCTGGAAAATTTCAATGTAAAGCTGATGATGAGTTCCTGATGGAAAAATTCACTACATTACACCTGAACATAGCCTAACGTATCATATGCATTAAGGACAGTCCTTGTACCGGAAGTCCAAGGGTGGCTACACTGCTCTTAGTCAGAGAAAATTCGACCTAATCATCTGAGAAACGGGTATTTAAAAATGGCAAAGAATAATTCCTTCGCTCAGATCTCGATATTGATTAAGCTATTGTATCGTAGAAATTAAGCTGCAATTGTTGTTTAGGACAGTCTTGCACGTTTTACTTTTATGGCTGGGAGGGGGGTGTTCAAACAGTCATATGTTACTTAGTAAAATAAAAATATAAACATTTAACATTTTTATCAAATCTCTGATGTTCTGATAAGTGAGTTTAGCCTAACTGTATTCAATTTTGAAAATCATTAGATAAAAAAAATCAAACATTTGTAGATTACTGCTTGTTGCGTTTCTTTTGCGTGTCAGTATATAAATTTTAAAAATCTAGAAGTCAAAAAGCAACCATTCACTCTATTTCGGAAAAATAAAATAATAATAAAAATTGAATAATGGATATTATGATAAATCTTTGATTGGTGTTAATGCATATAAAATGTTGTTAAACAAAAATATGATGTAAATGCATTAAAAAAAACTAGCTATAAAAATAGTAAATTTATATTGATAATGCTCTAATTCTGCATATAAATGTACTTTATTGAATAACAGTTAATTTCCCTTGCATTTCACAAGAAAAAGCAATAGGAAGGAGCTGTCCTAAATTTGGTTCGAGTTGTCCTTAACAATGTCTTGGGACGAGTTATCCTGATTCCGATATAAACATTCTCTATTATGATGATCTGAAACTCCCATTGTCATACTGAACAATTTTTGATGCTAAATTATTTAATCTAAGCAATATTTTATTTACTGACTTTAAGGTGAAAGAAGGATATGAAGATAACAAATAAAATTTAATATCAAAGTCCATAAAACAGTACAAAATAGGAGCAGAGCAAACGCGGACCTCCAAAACATCAGAGGTGGGATCAGGTGCCATGGAGAAATTAGCATCCCATGGCGACCGGTCACAACAGCTTTGTGCTCTTTGAATAGGAAATTGGGAAGCATATTAAACATATTTCAGCCCTCTCTCTGACTTTTGATACTTATATCTGATACAATTCTTCTTGCTTGTATTTTTACGATAGAATTTGCAATACCTACAACATTATTGTTCATATAGCATTTTACTGCTACAATGCATACTAACCTTAAATACAATCATTATCATGTTAAGAATGTCCATTTCTTCTCTCCCACACAGATCCTTGAAAATTGTCATACTTAGACGATATCTCTGTGCATAGCAGCATTTAAGCTGAATACAACTCGTTTAATGTACATGTAAACTGGCAAACGCCATTCTTGATATTACTATCGACTAAATCAGTACTGGGGTATCTCTTTGTTACTTGTTAATCCTTTTTTATTGTCACTGGTATTGGCGTGGAATACCAATAATTCGTGTTCGTACTAATTCTCATGCACTATCTAGGTGTGTGTTTTATTGTTGTGCATGAATTTTTGTTATTTTGTATACTGCACTTAACCTGTGCAACTATTGTAAGACCCTTTGGTACCTTACTTTTCTTGTATGAGAAGACGCAAGTAGTTATTGTTGTTGGTACCCAGTGCTCTAAAGCACCGATGACGACTGATTAAACTGAACATTGACTAAATCAGCCGCCTTATAGAGGTCCTTATATTTTAAGAGTCTAATCGAATGTGGCGAGCAAATTTCTGTTCGTGTCAGGCACGTAGCATCGTTTTTGAAAGTGGGGGGGCCAACCTGAGAAATTTTTTTTTTACTTACCTGAAAAAGTTGACAAGCAAAAAAAAAAAAAAAAAAAACCAAACTTTAAAGTTGCCCAATCTCGAAAATCCTATTTCGTGGCAGGGGGGGGGGGGGGGGGGGGGTAGTGGCCAACTTTTTCAAAGCCAACTTACTATCACTTCCAATTTTTTCCTTACAATCCTTGCTATCACTATATTATGGTTATAAGTGGGGGGGGGGCAACCATCCTTTCAATGAACATTTACTATAGTAAAGGTAATGTTGGGGAAAAAAGTGGGGGGGCCAGGCCCCCCCTGATACTACGTCCCTGCGTGTTCAGCTTTAAACGGTAAAGATTGCACTCAATTTCAGAACTACATGCTGTATACTGAAATACATACTGAAAAATTTGCCGAAAATGCCTATAATAGCTAAAAAATTCCACTTCGCTTAAATTCTGTTATAAATAAAAATAATTTTATGCAGACCAGGATCAGCTCCCAGCACTTTTCAAAATATACACTAAATAAGCAATAAACATTCCAAATTTCAGCTCAAACAAAATAGCTTATGCCCTTGCAATTTTGATGTTCATCACAGATACTTTCATCGTTTTAGCGAATATTCTCTACATTCCTTGTCCCTGTGCAGGTCCATTGCTACCAGATAAATTCTTATTCCATACACATTGTATTTAATAAATTATTTTCTTTTAGTTTCAATGATTAGGTTTAAAGATTAGCTATGGTATCATATTTATTTAAGCATTCTTGTAATTATAAAACCAGTTAATCTAGTACTCTGGATACCTGTGATGCGTCAAGTCAAGGCTTATGACGTCATATTTGACGAAAGACTTTCTTCTAGTACTCGACTGTATTGCTATCAAGTATCACAATTTTACAAGATTTTATACATAATCGATAAAGTAAATAAATTCAAGTTGTTATTGACGCAAAATCATGTCGTTGATTAATTTTTGTGGCTTGTTAAATTTCAGTGACGTCACAATTAAACTTCCAATTCGGCGTAAAAGGAATGTGTACTCTGACCTTCCCTAACATAGCAGAGTATAACCAAATATTTTTCTCGTTAAGCGGATATAATTTCGTAGTAAGTTACGAGTAGGTATTGCTATCTTTATCTGTAAAGATTGAAAATCTTCATTTTCATTCTTCATATACACTGCACGTTTGTACAATACATCTGATCACCATTTAAATGTAGAGTAATCGTCATGTAGCAGTGTGCCATCGCTCTCCCGAGTTTAAAGCTGATCCCGTTCTGGTATATGGTGTTATCCTGCATTTAAGAAGGACATCTACCAACTTATGCTCAAAGGAGTGCGGCTTCTCATCGACTTCCTAGCATTTAATTGCCTAACTTAGCAAATTCAGTAGACCAGGGATGGTTAGGTGCCAGTGCATGCTTAATTCCGTTCAATCGTGCAAACTACTTGCATTTACCTGATGTAAACTGCGTCCCGTAATCAATCAATATCCATTCAGTTAGTCCTGTCTACGCAAACCGTAATCTCGGCTGTCAGTTGTCATTGAGCGTGTCATGTGTCTTAATTGGCCCTTTGTAATCTGCATGGCCAATGTCCCGTATATTCTCTAAAATGGTCTAAAAGCCAAAATCAAGGGATGTAATTGTGCTGATTTTGTGCTGTATCTTACGGACATATATGATGGACTTTTCTCGACACTTCCTAGCACATCTGTTTCATACTTGGCTATTTTACTTGAAAAAGACGTTATTGGTAATCTAACAACCAAGCTATATGATAAACGTGATGACTTTAACTTTCTATCGTCAACTTCCCTTACTTATGCAGCAATATCAGGCACGTAGCATCGTTTTTGACAGTGGGGGGCCAACCTGAGAAAATTTTTTATACTTACTTAAGGGGGGACCTATGTCGTTCTACGTCAAGGCAGCGTTATGTGACGTCACAATAGCGACGTTTGATTTTACCTGTTGACTTTTGCAACTGTGATATACGCATAACATTGTTGGTAATCAATTACGTACAAAAGCATTAATCACAGTTTATTTGATTTATGGAGTTTGTTAATATTAGAATTCTCTTCCTTTGGTTAATAATTCATAGCAATTTCTGTTGTGAAAAATACCCCGATAATATGCTGATATAATAGTGCAATAAAGAGGTAAAATTCAAGAAAGAAAGCGGCTTAAATCAGGGGGAAATGTTTAATTTTATAATTACCATTAATCGATTTTCTGGAGAAAATCAAGAAAAAAATGAAGAAATGTACTTGTACAGGTGTATATTTTCTTATTGATTTATATAGTACATGTAGATTGTATAAAGTCATTCCTTGGTTCTAATAGGCATTGGTTGTTGACGGGGAAATGGGGGGGGGAGAAACAGAATGAATGGAATGTAGAAGAATATGTTTCTATTTAAATTGTTTCTAATCAAAACAAAATACTCGTTTTCCGCAAAATAGTTTTATATTCAGGTGTTTGTCAGTGCTTACTTACCCTTTTTTAGTGCAGAAAGGTCAATATTTTTGACACAAGAGTACAAAAATAAAAGGAAACGTCATATTTCTCGTTTATTTTATCATAAAGGTATACTTTTTTCTTTGTTGAAATAAAGAGATGAATCATTTCTTTCAAAAAATA